TTTGGAGTACTGGAAACAGTTGTGGAGAACAATTGAGAGATCAGATATTGTATTGGAAATTGTTGACTCACGTAATCCTCTGATATATCGATCTGGTGCATTGGAGAAGTTGATTGAGAGTTATGATAAGAAGGTTATCTTGTGTCTGAATAAGGCGGACTATCTGTCAGCGAATCAGCGTAGAATATGGAGTAGGTATTTCGAGGAAGTTCTGGATATTGATCACATCCATTACTGTTCTCTCAGAGAGCTAGAGGATGATGACGGTTATGATGACGGTGATGGTGACGGTGATGGTGATGGTCAGAGGGATGGTAGTAGTAGAGACAGCAGCCGTGACGAGGAGGATCTGTCAAAGTTGAATCTGTTGGATTTGAGTCGTGAGAAGTTGAGACAGAGGGACCACCAAGGTGGGGAGCAGCGTGTGGTTCCACGATCGGGAGGTAGTAGTTCTAAGTCACCTGAGAGCGAGGTGGTATTGTCCTTGGCGGCTGCGGAAGATTGGGAGGGTGTGCTCAGTATGAGTCAGCTACGCGCGCACCTGGAAACATTGGGGGTACAGGTTCGCGAAAAACAGAGCGCGAAACGCTTAAGGTGCTTACAGATATTGGGGGCTTTGGAGAACAAGCTGGCATCGAGTGCTTCGATCCATGATGAGTTTTGTGATTACTTGGCCGAAAATGCGGCCCGACATATTGAGGAACTTCATTCTGGTGCTCAAACGAGATCTAAGGTCCTACCCCACTCAGTCCTACCCCACTCAGTCCTACCCCACTCTGCTCGAGATAAAACCCGCACCGGTCGAGACAAAACCCGCACCGGTCGGAGTATGGTGATACGATTGTTGGGTAGTATTGACGCCCAGAGTCCCCTGGTTGTCGTGGGAACAACAGGGTTCCCAAACGTGGGCAAGTCGTCGCTGATTAACACACTCATGGAGGGGACGGCTCGCGTTGGTGTCAGTCGTACGCCGGGGAAGACGCGACACATCCAGACGTTGCAGGTGCCGAACAGTTTCCTGACGCTCTGTGACTGTCCGGGGTTGGTGATGCCGACGGCCGCTTGTTCGAAAGAGTCATTAGTGATAAACGGGATCATGAACGTGGACACCTACCGCGGCACGGTCGTAAGACCCGTAAGTCATGTGCTTCTGCGCACGGGGGAACAAATCGCAGAAATTTACGGTGTTACCCACACGTTCAATAGCCTCTTCGGCACCGAAGCGCTACATGAAAAGGCGCTACCCATCCTCAACTTACTCGCCAGCTGCAAGGGATACTACACCGGTACCAAGGGCGCCGTACCCGACGTCGAACGTGTTGGCCGAATGCTCGTCAAACAATACCTCGAAGGCAAACTCATCAGCTATTGCGAAGTCGCACCCAACGCTGACGTAGACGCCTGGCGCCACGAAGAACAAACCAAGTGGGCAAGCCGCAAACAAAAGTGGAGACAACACCGACAGAAGTCCAACCAACTCACCGTCACTGAGAAAGGAATGAAGCCCAAAAAAATTAATGCCTCTGGACGGGTCATACCACCACGACCCAGCTGAAGGTTTCCTGCGGTTGCGTTTTTTACGGTAGCCTTTTGTTATGTCCCTTTCCTCTCACCGTTTTTTGAAACCTGACGTTGGTTAGCTCAACAATGAAAGTTTCCGTCACCGTTCACTCTGTCGCCGGCATGGACGGCCATACCGGCGTGCTCGCGAACAAGTCGGATTTGTACGTTGAGTTGAAGTATGGCACTTTCCACTCGTGGCACACGAAGAAAGTCAAGGACGCCGGCTCCACTGCCGACTTTGAGGAGACCTGGAGCTTCGACGCCAAAGATAGCCACTCGACATTCACAGTAAAGGTCAAGGATGCCCGCCACCTCCGAATCGACGAAACGCTCGCCGAGGGCTCCTTCAAATTCGAGCAACGCGATGGATTCTACTACAATGGCGAGGTCGGCCTGGTCGACCAAAAACACGGCAAAGACCCCTCCATTAAGCTCACCGTCAAGTGCTCCGACTAGCTAATTTTTTCCGCACACACGTGTGCGCAATATATTAAGACAATACATCTTTAACCTAGTCTAACCATTTAGCCTAAAGGGTTGAGCTGAGCGTGAGGTACGGTCCCGAACCACGAGCTATTCAGCTCAGAACTGGCGGTATCGGTAGGGACCGACGGTGTAATAGACCCAGGCCTACAGTTTGAGTGTCGCCCGCGTTTCGTTGGACGAAACAGGGACCCGTGAGGAGTACGTAAGTTGGTGCAAGGAACGTGAGTGTACCCCCCTTGCACAGACAGGGGCTGAATTCGAGGACTGGACAGACGCAGTTTCCAGGGCCTACTACAAGTATGCAACAGTCGATGAGGTATCACTTTTCAGGTTCTTGGCGGACCGTATCGTGCCTGCAACGGCGGACCTGCGCTACGCTACTCTCTCTGAGGCAGGTCGTCGTAATGTGGAAACGTATTTCTCGGAAGTCGCACGCAAGCTATACGACGACTGCAGCCTATACGTGCACGCTTGGTACAAGCCAGTGCACGCATTCAAGACTGAAGACCTGGCGAAGCTCAATAACGTGA